CGGCCATGTCGCTGCTTATGCTGGTGACCTGCCAATCGCCATTAAAGGTAAATATCCTAATACGATTATAGATATTCTGCGCTCTAATATGGCTATGCTTAGGAACTGGACAGAAAGCAGAGAACTCGGAATGAACCCCGATAAAACGGCAGCAAACACCTCGTATTACACATTGGCTTTACACTCACGTGGTTAGGCCAATACCGTTATATGGAATATTTGTATGGTGGCCAGCAACTCAAAAGGCAAATTACCTAAAACTACAGAGTAAGGTTCAAAGAACAACGTTTCTATGAATTTCAGGAGCTTTAAGGGCCACCCCAAACAAGAAGTGTTAACCAATTTGCCCACAATAAACCTGGTAGGAAAATATGTGGCCGCTGCTTCAGCGCTCAGACTAAAAATTATAGTGCTATGCTATGATGTAAAGAAACGTGCTTAGCTGCTGTTTAAGCATTAGATTTAAATTGAGTGCAAAGAGTAAGGCAAAGTTGTATATATATACATATGTATGAAGAAAGGGATAAAGGTAAAGATTAGATCAAAAGTAAAGAAACTTAAAGATGGAGACAAAGAGGAAGGTAAATTTAAATACTTAATATAAAGACAAACGTGGAGTGAATATGCAGATGTGAAAAAGTGTGAAGATAAAGATCAGGATAGGGGTAAAGGAAAAGATAAAAATAAAAATGATAAGATAAATATAAATGTAAATATAAAGAAAATACGGCAGAGACAAAGATACAGGCAGAGGAAATCAGAGAGATAAAGATAAAACTGAAGAACGAGATATCTTATGTTATGGTGTTATGTGATAGAATATTATGTTATGTTGTGGTATGTTAAATTATGTTATGCTATGCTAAGTTATGTTATGTTATATTATGGTATTTAATGTTATACTATTCTATTTTACGTTATCTTATGAAGTAAATATAGACGCGGAGAGAAAGGTAAAACTGAAGAATGAGATATTTTATGTTATAGTGTTATGTGATGGAATATTATGTTATGTTGTGTTGTGTTATGTTATGTTATGTTATTCTAAGTTATGTTATGTTGTGTTATGTTATGTTATGTTATACTATGTTACTTTACGTTATATTATGCTATGTTCTTTTATATTGCGTAACGATACGTAATGCTATGTTATGTTATCTTATGCCATGTTATGTTATGTTATGGTATATTCTGCTATTTTATGCTATGAAATGTTACTATTTGTTTTGAAATATTATGTTATGTTATGTTGTTCAATACAATACAACTTAACTCACCACAGCTCATTTTATATCCCCTCACAACAACTCCCATTAGTTCACCTAACAACTCACCTTAATCACCTCACCTCAACTCTCCTCACCAGTTTCAATAAAACTTCATGTTTTATTATTAATTCATTTGATTGTTTATTATGTATTTTTTAATATTAATTTCTCTCGATACATTATATGCATTCTAAGTATGCCTACCTATGAACGTCTTTGTGTGTATGCAGTACGTGTGTGTTTAGAATGGTTTGTAAGTAAGTATGTATGTACGTGTGTTTACATGAGTTTTGTGTTAATAATTTTTAAATGACTGTTACATACATATCTTTGCTGTAAATTCAATCGTATCATTTATTTTTTAACATTTACATTTATGTTTACAATAATTAGTTGTGTATTTTCAATACTCATGTTTTATTTATGATTTATGTATATACCATAATTTTATATGTGTGCATGTATTTATATTTCAGTATAAATACACATTTTTCCTATTAACTTACTGTAGTTGAAACGCTTGAAAACCCCAATCGACAAAAGAACAAAACTGTCGAGAACGTACTCAACGAGATGTATATAAGAACAAAATCCCTAGGGAATGTTCAAAAAACGAATAATACTTTAGGGGCATTTTTAAGAGATCAAAATGGGGAATTAAGTCTTCAGAATGTTGTGGCATAGAACAAAACTGGAAAAAAGTCGAAATAACTTTTTCTCTAAGAACAATTTGGGAACTAAAGTCGCCGGATCGTTTCGGCAGAGAACGAAACGGGAACAAATCTTCGTTGAACTATTGGCGAAAAATTGAAGCGAGGATAAAGTTTTTCTCATAGCGCTGCTTTAATTTGAAATGTTTGAATAAAAAATTAATAGAAGAAATAGCTGAAAGATAACTATGCAATTTAAGTCAACGAAAGACATAAGACTCGAACTTTTCTTGCACAGAAAATGAAAAATTGTCCACACTGAAATGGTTTTTCATCCCAAGGCGCATACGCATACTTACCATTCTTAAAGGTAGGTTCGACAAAAACTTTTCTTGACGCTTTGTTATCTATTTCGTTCTCATTTCGTACTCATTGGAAATGATCCCGAACGTTTCTTTCTCATTCTGTTCCTCTTGAGAATGTTCTTCAGAGTCTTGTTGTCATTTCCACGAGTTTCTTTCTTATTTTGTTCTTTATGGAAATGTTGCCGAACCTTTGCGGCCCATTTTGTTCCCGTTCGAACTTCTACCAATACTTTTGTTCCCGATGGTTCTTTTGAGGGAACGTTCTTGACATAACGTTTTGCTCTCGTCCTGAACTCAACAAACCCGTAACGCGTAAATTTATACATTCGCAATGCAAACTTAAAATGAAAATATCTTTGGAAAATGAGCTGACCTAGGAAAACTGCGTACAGTCCGGTAATGTACTTACTACCCAAAATTGAATTGACGTCTCTCGGCGATTTTTTGTGTCATTTTAATTTTGTTAATTGATTTTCGCTTCAATGCAGCACTCTCATGCATTCTTTAGCCTTGCTTATTTTGCAATTTTCGAAATTGCATATGTACCCAGATTTATTTTTGCCTACTTGCTTGTTTTCTTTTTCTCGATTTTGTTATACGAAGAGGAGAAATTACATTTAGTAAAAAGTTTTAAATATTCAACGTACATATGTATTTTTTTTTTCTTTGTAAATTTTTAACTGCAAGTTTCTATGTATGCCTGTAAATGTACTTACATAAGTGTGTGCCTATGTAGGTATTTATGTATGTACAAGTATATGTATTAGTATGTATGTATGTATGTATATATTATCACTAACATTAAATGCCATTTATGTATGCTGCTGTTGTTGCTGCATTTTATTTATTTTCTAATTGTTTTGAATATTTCTCCTTTTTGCTTTTTTTTATTGTTTATTGTTTTAAGTTCTTTACTGCACATATTTACTTTGTTAGACTTAAATTAAATTCTTGTTTGTTTTTTTTTGATTTCATCAGCTACACTAGGCAAAACTTAACTTTACACAAGTTTATGTATGTATATATCTATGTGTGTATGTAAATATATTTGTCTAATTTCTATAAAATGATTTAATTTACAAATGATTTTGATTACACTCTCTTGACTATTCGTGTATTGGATTTTCTTGTTTGATTTACGGTAATTTACTTCGGTTCATTTGCAATACTCCACATATGTTTATCTACATATGCATGTATGCATTTATACCTGTGTGTGTGTGTGTGTATGAGTAAATGTACAGTGTATAAATATTTGTGTTTTGTATAATCAACCAATGAAGTATGGCCTTATGCAACGATCGAGTTTTATTATAAATTGTATTTTACATCTTACATAAATTAGTTTGATTTTTGCAGGTAGCAGTATGTATGTATGTAAGTACCTTCGTAATATCTATCTTTGTTTAAAATTCTTTATTTGGAAATTTTCATGCGTGTATGAAGACTAATGTGTTCCAAGTAGAAGGCGATATCTTCGATCACCATGTACTTTTAGAGGTTAAAAAAATTGTCTTAAAATTGCATACATTTATTACTTAAGTCTCGTTCTGCGAAAAAACTTTAGGAATAAATATTAATTAAGATATCGACCCATCTGCGCGAAATTATGGTATGTGCCAGAAACCAAATATTACAGGAGATCGTTTTTTCCATCTTTTAATTATTATTATCATTTTTTTACAACGTACAAAATACTCTTGTATGGCACATACGATAATTTCGCCCACACAGAAAAAATGCGTTGTAACGTACGATAAAATATACCGTAAATGTTAGGCATAATATAGGGATTTTAGCTAGAATATTTTACCAGATGAAAAAGTCAATTTCGAAAAATGCATCTACAATAATTTCGCACAAAGGAGTGGATATGATGAAAGGGAATTGAAATCTAAACGAATTCCGTTTCCAAAAAAAGGCAAGGCATCAATCGAAAGCGCTTACCCTGAAGATTTTTAACTTACGATGCGAATAGTTATGTATCTACATAGGTATGAATTCGGGCATGATCTAATCAAAAATATATGTGAGTACCCTTCCGGCAAGCTGGGGCAATTTAAACCAATGCACAGTGTGACATTTCGCCAACCTAGGATGTCAAAATTAGCCAAAGGTTTAGGCTTGGCTTGATATTAAGAAGAACGTAAGCTTCAATACGGTTATGTATAACTAGTTCCAACTAGTGTCAAAGAGGTCGAATATTATCCCTAAAAAGACTAGTAAAAACAACAGTTTTTGGAATAAGGTGCTTTAAAGATATATTTTTTCCGAAGTAAAACCCAAAAACTTTGTATGGCATATGTTTAGCAAATTTTCAGAGAATTCATGAATATAGGTTAATAGGATCTTTTTTAATCAAAAATTCTAGAAATTTTGCCCTTATAATGCTCAGATTTCCCTAAAATCTAAAAAAACACCTTAACAATTTTTTCTTCTAAAGAGCTGATGAAATTAGTTAAAAAAGCTCCTCCGGTGCTTTTCCATTTGGGTTTTTCGTTTAGGCGTGAGATTATTTTTTCTAGAAATACTGCCGATAACTCGATAACCGTTGTCTAAGACATATAATTTAAAAATCAAAAATAACTGTTATTTTCAGATTATTCAGATACAAATCAAATATAATTGTTATTTTGGATTTATAATATGAAAGTCAGAATAACGGTTATTAAAGGAATAATTAAATAAAAGTAAAAAAATAATTGTTGAAGAACGATTTTTTAAACAAAAGTTGTAACATATGTACATATGTATATACGTATTTTGGAATGCATTTCTGTAATTTATTGTAGTTCGCAAATTTTCGTGCCAAATTATTTAAAAGAAATGCATTTTTTATTCGCAAAAGCTAAGACCAAGATACATGCATGTAATATTGTGAATACTTGTCAATATCTAAGATCGTTATGTTTAAGTAGTACCTTTTTAACAAAAAACAATTTTTAATTTATTTATTATTTGGATAACATTAATGTTTACTTTTTGTTTGCCTATTTTCGCAATGTTCAGCTGCCACATTAAGTTCAGTTCCGCAATGTCTTTTCACCATAACTAATATATTTTTTGGACACTAATGCCAGCATTTGCTATAAAATATAGAGAATTGTATATTGAGTGAGTGTTTTCTATTAGTCAGTTTAATTTTGCTACCGTTATTATGATGTATTTATGTTGTTTGTAGATTCTGAAATACACACTTGCTAAATTTCAAACTAAAGTCTTCTGATGCAACGATGCGGTTTGGCTCACAACTTATTTACTTGCTTACTTTGCGTTATCCTCTTTGGGTTTCTTATTTGTATTTGTAAATCGCTTTTCTTATTCGCATTTGATTTTAAGTATAATTCTTTTTGTGTGGTTATTTACAATTTTCGAGTCTGCTTCTGTGTGAGTTTTATTTTCTCCTTTCTTCTGCAGCTTACTTTTATTTATATTTATTTGTAATACTTTCTTCTTACTCTACACATTGTTTCTTAATTTCACTAAAACTTAAATTTATTTAACTAATGTTATGCTATGTGGTTTTATAAAAAAATTCGAGCGTAAATCTTAAAATATCAAAAAAAAAAAAACTAAAATTCCTTAAAATGCATTGTTGCAGCTATTTTGCTGTTATTATTTTATTTTTGCGTTTATCCGACAGCATCTGCAGGTAGGTTGTTTATTTCAGCGCCGGATCCAGTGTTGTAAATTCCATTTCGCCGCGTGGCAAAATTAGATCGGGGTCTGTAATGTAGACTAGCGTTGCAATGAAATAAAACATAGCAGAAAAATTTGATTTTTTTTTTTGTTTTAATTTTAGATATCGTATGCAGTGTGACAATTAGAGGAAATGTGCGGTTGAAAAAAAATTGAAATTGAAAAAGAAAATAATTTAAATAAATACATAGAGAGGAAGTGCAAGTGTGGAAATATGAAAATAAAGTTAGAAAAAGCGAAAAGGGGGATCATTAAAATGAAGACACTGGGCCTTATGCATAAAAAGTGAGCTTAAGCTCAGACTCAATTTTTGCACTGAAAGGGTGAGCTCAAGCTCAAGAATTTGTACTGAAAAACGAGTCGGAGCTTAAGCTCACTTTTTATGCATGAGGCCCACTGTTATCAGAAAGAATAAAAGTATGTATATATATATTTTTGTGTATGCACTTAAGCATGTGTACAGACTTGATGTGGCTTAAAAATTAACGGGTGGCGAGCTAAAAGTTATTCTGCACGAGGAGTCATGTAAAAATCGTCGGTATTTTAAAGTAAATATAAACTTTTAATTCTTTGAAGACCGAATTTGGTTGGGACTAAAACTTTTAGTACTAGTAGAAAATTCGAACGTCTATGGTTTTTGGTTTGACCGTTATAAAATGTTTCAAACAAATGTTTACAAAGTTTTCTAACAAAAACCAAAAACGTTTTTCAAGCTTTGATATTCTTTATCACATTTACTCAATTAAACTTTATACGTCAAACTCTTTTGGTAAAAAAATATATATAATTTTTTTTTTTAATATTGCAGAACCACTTTTAGCAAAATTTATGTTTCGTACAAGTAGTCACAGCGAAAAGACGCCGATAACAAATTGGTTCCGTAATTGTGGCATGAGGTTCAGCTTTTTGAAAAATTATAATAAAAATATGAAGCAAGATTTAAAAACGAAAATTTCAATGTTGCCTATAAGCCACATCGGTCCTCAGAGAGTTAAGGTGCTAGAATATTTTTAAACATGGTTTTATTGTACATTACCTGACCAAAATATGAGGTCATCAGGTTATTAGTCATTATGAGGCAATCACTACATCGTAAAAATTGTAACAAGCAACACCTTTTCAGTTACTGCTTCAAAAATGTAGCAAGGCTAATCTGGCTGTTATGGCCTCATATGACCCGTAGGAGGTCAGTTAAAAAGTTTAAGCGATTTATTTATTTTCTCTTGATCTTGTAACGAGGTAAAAAGGAGCATATTCGTAGAAACACAAGTCAAAGTTGAAAGTCAGACAAGCTCGATGATAATTAGGGGTTAATGTAACAAAATAAATTTATGTACATATTGACTTTATGGCGGATTATATAATCGTTTCCGTGACATATTTCCGCATCGGATAACTACAGGGCTCTAAAAAAAGCCTTTTCAGATAATGAAATAACGGCAATTATATTTTTTGGGATATTTAGTTCGAGGAATCTGGCTATAACTTTCGTTTTAGATTGCAAGTTCTGCAAATTTTCGACGGCTAAAATTTTAGAGAATTCCATTTTCGTCACCGTTTAAGAAGGCTGGATTATTTGCTTTTTCAGGAAAGGGAGAAAAGATGAATTGATATAAAGAGGGAAGAAATTCAAGTGCCTGCAAGATATATGAGAACAAGCTTCTATGGAACCTACTCTGAATATAGTTAGCAAGAAAAAAGTTCTACAGCTTAGCGTAATTATCCCGAACTAGCTCCAGAAATTGTTCTGAAATATTCCCGAAAAGATGTTGAAACAGTCCTAAACAGGTTCCGAAGTGATCTAAAAATGATATCCTAGTCCTGAAATGCTTATTTGTACACACAAGAAGCAATTATTGTTTTTGCTGGGTTAGACAAGAAGCAGTTACAATTTTTCTTACTGGCCTATATCGAGCTGTGCTGGAAACTTCTATTATCTAGCTTCAGAAATTAATATGGTGAAAGACCCTTATAGCCAACTTGACGAGTTTCAATTTTGACCGGTTTTATTGGCTCCGTTCGTTTTTCATATCTCTTGGTTTAGGAAATTTTTACCATTTCAATTTAGTGATTTCTTATTAGAAAAAAATTGTGCTTCTTACTTTTTTTTCTTTGAAACAAATTAACTAATGTCCAATTTGTCCAATAGAGATTGTTTTATTAACTTAAGGATATACACACATGTAGCAAAACTAAATGACATGTACGTAGGGCTGTGAGCTAAAGCAAAAACAATAAAATAAAATAAAAAGCCAAATGAAAAATTTGCTTCAGCACATACAAATAATAAAGCGCATAGCAATATAAATTGAAAATTGTATTAATCACTTTTTAAGGTGCTCGAATTCAAAAAAAAAAAAAAAAAACAAATTATCAACTTCAAGGGAGCATTATATGAGAAGCCAACGCTTGAACCATAGACGTTAGCCTGACTTTATGTTTTTATTATTTGGAGACACAAATGAAGCCATGCGAGCAGAAGTGCTCAAACCTAAAATTTTTTTTTTTTATAATTAACATCTTAAAATATTTTCAAATGTGATAAAATAAAGGAATAAGCAACTATTGTTTTAAAATTTATCACATTTGAAACAATTTTATGTAGGTAGGTGCAAAAAAAAACACAAATTTTGTGTTAGGTCACTTATTCTCTCACTACCTAAAATATAAATAAATAAGTACACTCTTCAGATTATTTTATTTTCACCCTTCAAATCCATTATGTTTCGAGTTTATTTCCTTTTTTTATAGCATTTTATTGTGTGTGGCGTTATTGCTGAAGATTTACTTACACTTATAACTGCTCAATCCCCCATCCGTCATAACCTCCTATCACACATTTATACTCACTCACATACATAGTTGTATGTGACGCAACAAGCGTGCAACGTGCAGCAGCAGTTACGCAATGCGGGTACATGCACGCTTGCGACTTCCTACCCCCTTCACACGCTATTTTCCAGCCCCTCCCTCCCCACCACGATGTCTTGGCCGCCTCTGGCACGCGTTCATTTTCGGATCTGCGCTGTTGATTTTCAGCTTTTATGTTATTGCGTTTTGCTCTCGTATCTGTGCATTTTATTGTTATTGCATTTTATGTGCGTATGTATACTTCCTATGTGTACACATATATATATATATATATATAAGCCATTTTGGTATGACTGTGGCGTCTTATGGTCGTAAAAGCACCGCACACAACTTCGGAAGGGAACTCATACAGCTTGCCAACATTTTGACAGCATGTCCAAGCATTGATGTGCGAATTTAGCGAATTTTATGTATGTTTTTGCAAAAAAAAAAAAAATATTACTTAAAAATGATACTAAAAACTTTACATACATATTTAGGTGAAGTCAAAGCACTCAAAGTAGCCATTTGCCTTTAAGTTGACTTCATTACTTCGAGTACATTTACTTGGTCGTGCATCCAAATCTGGCTGATATGCCACAAATTGCGTAACTGGCACTACTTGGTTACACGGTAGTAGAGCTGTTTGGTTTTGGTATTAAAGTGTTTAAAGGAAAGGCAAACGTTTCTTTTAGGTTGTTTGTACTTCCAGCAAGGTAGAAATATTTATTATCTATCTATTGTGTAAAGTTGTTCCGTCATCCCTTGTAAAATTTTGGTTTGAAGACAAACTGGTTTCAGACTGGGTGCGCCATATTCAATGTCAGTTTTCATTCTAAATACTTTCTGCCTGTCTGTTAGTCGTGTGTGTGTGTTAGTCGTTTTATCGTTGGGAGGGTTCGCTAAGGCACATCTAACTAAGTTGGAGAACGATGAGTGCTACATAATATTTAGTTTCACAGCGTTGGTTTCGATTTGAATAGCAGAGCAGTATGAGAAATAAAATTACATTCATTTTGCCAATGTAATAGCTTAAGAAAGCATTATTAGAATTCATTAGCAAGTGCCGTTTAGCATTAGAAGTGCTAAGGTCATATTTGCAGTAGTCAAAGCTATTGGCCCATAGTCATAGTCGTAAGTTAAAACTCATTACTGTTAAAATAAAGCTTTAAGTTTAGAATAGAATTTTAAGTTATATCAATCCTAGACATCTTAGAAACAGCTTTTTGTGAAGATGAGAGAGAACAGAGCTATCCATATGAAGAGAAAAAATTTACTCGGAAATATAAAGAAATATGAGTACTTTAATTGTATCACCTTGTGTCCGCTGCACGATTGCGGATTTAGCAAGCTGGAAGTCGTGAGTTCGAATCCCTCTGCAGGGAACATTTTTTTTACATATTATTTTGTTGTTTTAAACATTATTTTAATTTGTTTTATGCAATTATAGTGGTTGCGACCTTTTCAATTAAAATTAAACTCCAAGAAATTTAATCAACTTGAAACAATTATGTGAAATACCTTAAGAAAGGCAACCAAACAAAAGTTAACAAAATCAAATGAAATAAAATAATGTTTGTATTAAAAAAAAATATTAAAATTAACAAATATTGTTTGGAAACTTAGAACCTTATTTGACGATTTTAAAATCACCTTCTCCTCACTGTAAAGTTAAAATTCCTTTTTTCCCCCATAAAATGCATTTTGAGTAGACTATGAAAGAATTAAAATGCTGATTACTCTAAACACAATTTTAATCGTTAAAGCCTTTCTCTAACTTCTCTATGACTATCGGTCATTATATTTACAATCGTTAATTGAGATGTCTAAAAGCATGCAAGCATATGCATTTATAAAGAAATATCCTGTAAAAATATCAATTGTCAAATAATCATATTCAATTAAGCGACACAACAATGCTGCTTGCTTAAACAAAAGCTTGAATTTGATAGCTCTCCTGCAGGATTAATAGGAAAACATAGTTTTTCTTTTTAATTGAACGTTCTTGGAAAAACAACAGGAAATTGAGAATAAACAAAGAGTTTAGTTTTTAGAGTCGTAAAAAATATAAAAAAAAATAATTGACCTTTGACCCAAGCCTTACAACAGGATCGTACGAGTACAACACACTTTTTAGGTTGCGTATACGCCATGGCTATAGATTTTTGTATTTTTCA